TAGTCTTAATTAATCCCCTCTGCTGCAAGGTATCTCCAGGGCCTTATGTCCTTATGCTCGTTTCTCAGCAGAGATGGAGAATTTCTCTGCCCATTCAACTTTTTTTTTCTTTTTGGTGAGGCAGTTTGGGTTAAGTGACTTGCCCAGGGTCACACAGCTAGTGTCAAGTGTCTGAGGCCAAATTTGAACTCAGGTACTCCTGACTCCAAGGCTGGAGCTCTACTGCTCCACCTAGCTGCCCCCCCCCTTGCCCATTCAACTTTAATAAACACTTATTTAGGTTCTAGTTTTCTCATTGCTGAATAAAATGCCAACTCCTTTAAATGACCAATTAATGTTTACTCTGTAAAATATTTATTGGCTTGGTACCTGGTACCTGAGGATATGCAACAAAAGCCTGGCCATAGTCCCTTTGTTCAAAGAGCTCACAGCCTTGCTAAGTGAGATGACAATTGATAATTGACAGAAATGTGTCCAGAGCAATGCAGCAATTGCGTGGGTAAGAGTAATAAAACAGAGAAATGTGGTATGAATTATAATTACCCAGGGCTCAGCACTGTCCAGAAACACCCAGGAAAAGTTACACATGTATGAGTAGGTCAAAGAAGGTCTAGAGAAATGCAAATTCAACAGGATACAGAAATTTAAAATTGTTTGAAGCACATCTCTGACCTTTGTGGGTATTGTGAGGAGAGCAGGCATACCTGTTACAGTTATTGGGCTAGGAAGACCTAGGGTCTGAACCAATGTAATATTGTTGCTTAGGGGAACCGGAGTGGGGAAAAGAAATCAGTGAAAGCTGTCTGGAAGAGGTAGCCTTTAGGTTGAGGTTGGATTAAGACTCAACCATGACCAAGCTTGGACAGACAGCTATTTCCTTTTCTTCCTCCTTAGGAGATAATGAGTCTTAAGCCAGATGTGTTCACAGCCAACACTAACCTTACTTCTGGACCTTTGCCTATTTTCCCACTGGAGATGCTTGTCAACAAACCTGCAGAAGAACTACCAGCAGGTGTGGATCCTAGTAGGAAGGAGGTGAGTTGGGTTGGGGATTGGGATGGTTTAAAAAAGGTGAAATTATGGTTTGATAAAAACCTTATTTCTAGTATTTATGTATACCTTATGGGGTTTCCAACTCTACCTTAAGGCTTTTTGCAAGGGCCGACAGCATTTTTGGATGGTCAGTGCTGTATAGTGTTTTGGAAAAACTATGGGAATTGGAGTTAGAGCACATGGGTTCAAACCCCTCCATTTATCACCAATGTGACCTTGGGCCTTCTTAGAAAGCAAGACTGAGTCAGGGAGACCTGGGTTCAGTCCTGCCTAAGATACTTACTAGCTGTGTGACCTTACGTGAATCACTCAACCTCTCTCATAGCCTGTTTCCTCATTTGTGAAATGGGAATGCTGATAACAGAATCTATCTCACAGGGTTATTTCAAGGATGAAATGACATAACACGTGTAAAGTGCTTTGCAAACCTTAAAGTGCCACACAAATGCTGGCTATTATTCAGAGGATCTCTAAAGTCACTTCTAAATCTAAATTCTGTAGCAAGTAGAGATTCTCTATCGATATCGATTTTTTTGTTGTTGTTGGGCAAGCATGTCTCATACATTACTATTACAGCATGTGTATTTTTTTTGAAGCATTTTCACATAGATTCGAATTTGATCCTCACTCATAACCCTGTGAAGTATTCATTACATAGACGTAGAAATTTTGGTCTAGAAGTGATGACTTGCCTTATGGAAGAAATCACAGATGATTAACTGAAAGCAGAAATAGATTATTCATTTTAAAGGGGGAAAAATATTGATTGGAACTAGGAGAAAAAGAAAACTGTAGAAGTAATGTACTTGGTGTCTTTGCAGTTTTATTGTTAGTAGTATAGTCTTACTACTCAGCGAGAGTTTTGCACATTCTTGCTGGAGAGCTGAAAAGAATTTTTTTTTTTAAGTTTCTTTAGGGCCATTCAGATCCATGAGAATGATTCAGTCACAATTTCAGAAAAGTGCTGAGACAGGAAGACACATGAGGGCATGACTTGTGTTTACACTTATGCCACTATGTGAATGAATGGTTAGAATAGGGAGTGATAGATAAGTAATCGTCAGAATGGTCCTTAGAATGCAAGAGCTGTCTTATCGTAACTCCTATCTAACTAACGGCTCACAGTACAGCAAGCTTTTTTGAAATGAACACTCCAAACTTGTGTTTTAGAGATGGACCATGGAAAGTAAAGCTGTCCATGAAATTCTGTCAGGAGTTTGCAGCAACAGGGAAGCTTATTAGCAGGTGATAGAACTTTTATTCTTCCCAATACCCTGCAATAACACCTCAGTTTGGGGGTGAAGAAATTTCTCTGCATTTGCTACCTAGGAGATTATGTGGACAGTGGTTCCCCAGGGATGGAAGGACAATGACAGGTCACATGAACCCTGGTCTGTCTAATAACTTTAAAACAAACACTGCATGATTACCAACCTAGTCTTTCTTCTCTCACCTTCTTGCTGCTGCTTTTGAGAGCAGGACTAGAGTGACACCTTACACAAGCAAATTTGATAAAGTTTATTATTTAGGAGCAGTGTGGTGTAGCAAAAATAACATTGGATTTAAGGCAAGATTTGGTTTGGAAACCCAGCTGGATGGGGTCCCAGGCAAGTCACTTCAAGTCTTTGGGTGTGTTTCTTCACCAAAAATGAAGTTGAACAAGATAATCATTAAGATTCCCTCAGATTCTGAACTCTGGCTTATAACTCTTTCAAGTTGATCTATTTTCAGTTATTTCCGAAATTTGTCTTTGGCTGCGACTTGCCGAGCAAGGTGGCCCTTTTCCTCAGTTCAAACATTCTGGTAGATTTCGGTGTGCCTCACTTCGTTATTTCTATTACCTCCATCATCTCCCACTCAGACCTGGAAATGTGTGTGCTTACTGGTACTCGCTTATTTGCAAGGTCAAATGGAGTGAAATTGTAATTATAATCTCCTGACCTACACTCCTGCTGTTACCCCATTCCCTGTAGTAACACTCCCCACCCTCTATCCCCAACCTGTTGCTAAACCTGCGATTTTGAAAGGATTTGATACCCCATAATCATTTTCTCAGGAGATTCCGGTTACAAAGCCTTTTGCTTTTGTGAATCAAGGCCCCAAGTAGGTTGATCCAAGATCCTCACTAGCTGGGCTTGGTCTTTTAACTGTGAGCCAATCAGAAAAGAATTATAGATTGTTAAAGCTCTAAGAGATTTTAGATACCTTTTAGCTAAACCACACTACCCCCAGTCCTCCCTAGGGGTCTCTGGATAAATTTCAGGGGGGGTTATTTTCACTAACTTCTAGCTGAAATGTAGCCATTTCTTTTGATTATTAACATACACAACAAGCATTCTAAGAAGGGGTCCACCGGCTTCAGACTGACAAAAGGGTACATGTCACAAAAAAAAGTTAAGAATCGTAGTCTATTCCAACTCCCTCATTTTACAGATGAAGAAACTGAGGTTCAGAGAAGTGACTTGCACACAGGTACTATATAGAAACAGGATTTAAACCCAAGTCTTCTGAACTCCAATTCCAGGACTATTTAGACATCTGAGGTAGACCCACTCCCCATTTTTATGGTTTATTGCACTGCCAGATTTTGCTTTCCATTTGACTCTTACTCTATCATTCATCACGTTAAAACATGCTCCTGGGACAGATACTGGTCATTCAGCAGGGACTCTGCCCTTGTGCCTCCCTTGCTGCCCATGTGACATGGTCCCCTGCCTCACCCGCAGCTCCTCTTTACCCTCAGGCACACTTGTCTGGGGAAGACTTCACTAGGGTCTTCGGGATGTCTCCAAATGCCTTTTCTGCCCTGCCACTGTGGAAACAACAGAATCTGAAGAAGGAGAAAGGGTTGTTTTGAAGAGAGGGGTACCTACAAAGTCCACAAGGCAGCCACCCCATCTCAGCAGTTTCGCCAAGTTTTGTTTTGTTTACTGTTATTGCTATGTCAAATAAAGCAAAATTACTTTCCAAATACTGAAGAATGGAGTAATGCCTTTTCTCTTCAGTTAGTTATTACACATCTACACTTTCTCCAAAAAGATCTGCTTCAGGGAACTGGTGGTCCTATTTCCTAGCTCCCCAGAGTTAGGTTTGCCTATCACTGCTTTTAATCTTGCCACAGGAAATAAAAGTGGCATTTCCAAACATTATTGAATTCTAAGGAGAGTCCCCTTAGGGTCTCAAAATTATGGCTTATCCGATCTCAATAGCAGGGAGGTTGAACATTTTCCAGATTTATAAATTTCAAGTTTCACTTTGCTTTCCTCAGACCCTGGGCCAAATACAATCTTAGTGTACTGTCTCCACTCTGTTCTGGGGCAAATCCCATTTAAACCAAGTCTCAGTGAGTACTTCAGACTAACACGAATCTAGCCCTATTGGTCCACAACCTAGGCTCCCTGAAGACAGTAAAGAGGGTGTGACAATGCCTGTTTGTTGTAGGCATTGTGGCAGAGAGACCACAAAATCTTTCTTCCTTATCCAGTCCACTGTCTGGAATCCAGAGCCCTATAAAGGTTATAAAAGTACAAACATCACTTTCTCTCCAATAGTATTTCAATTGAGTGAAACAAAGGATGAGATTGACCCTATACTAACAAGGGGCTCAAACAGAGTCCAGCCATATAAGGTAAACTTTTCAACAGTCAGGCACCTACAAAACCAAGAATGTGAAGTCTCTGAAAGCAGGAGCTATTTTTTCTTTCTCTTTATTCCTAGTGCCCAGTACAGCAACTTGGCAGGCCCAGTTGTACAATACAATACTTGTTGTATTGAATTGAAGCTCAGAGGTAACCAAAATGACAGTTATTTGCCCCTTCTTTTCTTCTAAGACACATTCCAGGCGACTTCTCGAGAAGACCAAAAAAAAGTTGGTCTCCAGAGATGTGCCAGTTTTTAAAAGCATCTGATAGAAATGTTACCCTTTTCAGAAATAAAAGTCAAACCAATAGAGGGGTTAATAAAGAGGTTTTAATTTCACAAAAAAAAATCTATATATCATTTAAAAAGGGGAAAAAACAAGGAAAAACTCTCAGAGATACAAAGGAACAGTTCTGCTAAAACACAGATAAAGTGCCGTTCCATATAAACAGTGTAAAGAATCAGAATCAAAAAATCACTCAGAACGCGAAAAACTAACCCACTAGTAACGTGGCCAAAGCGGCTAGTAAACCTGGTGGCAGATAAACCAGGCATGTCAGAGAAACCCTATTTTTTTTTTTATACAATAAATTAACATTGTCAAGAGGCAGTGAAACTGGTCAGGCAGGGAAATAGGGAAGGGAGTAGAAAAAAGGAGAGAAGGAAAAATTGAGTAAAGAGGAACAAGATCAAGGCAGATGTTAGTAACTGTCAATTTGCATTCTCACTCTTTGGACAGAAACACTGTCAACTTATTAACCCAGAACAATCTTATCTATTTTACTCTTTTGGGCATCCTGCAAACTTAGTTCTGACTTCTCCCTACCCATCCTAACCGTTCTTATTGTACCAGGCAAAGAAGATATTTCTGCACTTTGATCTCCTGCACCTTGGTATGAGTCCAATGGCAAAAGGTTAACGGCTTCACGTATTAGCTGTGGCACAACTCTGACATTTTAAAAACACTTTCAGACACACAGAATACATGAAAAACACTTATCCAGTTGTGGGAAAAAATACATATATGAACATGGGGAGGTGAGTTACTCAAGGATAATTTATGGAAATTAGTGGTCACGTAAGACAAAATAAATTGTTTCTCTTAGTTACAGATTTCCCAAGGCCTGAAGTAATTTTGTTTGTTTCATGTATTTAACGGTGGCATTTAAAAAAACCTATATAACACACACACACACACACACATATACATATATACATTATACACACACCTTGAAATAATTTTAGTTTTACTGGTAAACATGTCCACATGAAGGTTATTATTTAAATGAAACAGAAAAAAAGTAAAAGTGATGTAAATTAATGCTCTTCAGGACAGGTATTTCAAGGGGACACAGGTGAGGAAAAGACAAAGAAGGCTAATAGCTTCATTTATTTAAACATAGCCTATTTGGACTAAATCTCTTATGGGTGAGGTGAGTAAAGTTTACCCGATATATTTTTTCTACCTTTAAAAAAACAACAACAACAAAACCCCCCTCCCAACCCAAACATGCATGGCACACCCAGCAACTGAATGTATTTGAAAATTTGCTGATTTTTCTTTCACAAACATGCATTTCTAGACAGCCCACATTATACATCTATGTATAGCTATATGTGTATATAGCTATATGTCAATAGCTATATAATGCTACCAGTAGGAGGGGGGTGGTGGGAAGACACACAACAGTAAGTAAATTTGCCCAACTGAAATTTGCCAATTATCCCTCTGCCATGCTTTAATTCTTAAAGCTTGTCTTTTTTTTTTTTTTACAGAAACTTTTCATCAAAGGTATTGGTAAATGAACATGGCTAGGGTTTGCTTTCTGGACTAATATACCAAAATGTATATATTTTATGAGATATTTATGACATCTGAATAGTTTTTATTAGTGGTCAATCGACTGGACCTGTAATTAAGGCAGAACTTTTTTAGTAAAAAATGAGTTTCAAAATTTAAGTAAAATAGAAGGAAAAATGTGTGGATTTGTTAGTTATACTGCCCTGTGGAGACACGGACACACACACACACACACACACACACACCCCTCCACATACACACAGAAAACAAAGTCTACCTTCTAGCAGGCTGAAATTCTATTCACAGCTGCTGTGACAATGATGATGTTTGGATCTATACCTCAAAATACTAGGTGATACAAACCATTACAGATTTTATTTGGTTTGGTTTTCCTTTAAAAAAAAATTCCAAACATATCAGAACTAAGTGCTGCTAAGCTGCAACGCTATATATAACTGATGGCCGCAAAATGCTTCAGATTTGCAGTAGAAATCTGTTTTTCTACAGAATAACAGGACCCCTTCTCCCCCCACGCATCACATGCTCACACTATGATTCTGAACTGGCTGTGCTGTGCAAATAATAAAATATATATTTTATATATATATATATATATATATATATATATATATATATATATATATATATACACACACACACACACACCTATATATATAATTTTTCAAATCTATAAAGCCATTTCAACCAGGAATAACCCCTCCCCTGCTACTATCTCTATCAACACAATCAAGATGAAATTCTAGGAATGCCATACTGACCTAAAATGAGAAGGGACTCTGTGGTAGGAAGGTCAAACACGGAAAGAATTGATGAAGCCACTTAAATGGACATGTCTGTGAGAACTGAAGCTCCAACAGCAGTAAAACAAGCCCTTCTGACCTGGTGACCCATTCTTAATATGAAAGATGAAGCCCCAACATACTAAGAGTAAGACTGAGGAAGAAAACCCCATTAAATCATGCTTCCAATTACATTAACTCAATTTGGGCTAACTTTTCAGGAGTCCATCTACAGAGCTTCCTTCTGTTCTCACCTTCCCGACCGACCCCAAATGTAATTGCTCCCTCTGAATTGTCTTTGAAGTCATTCACCTTTACTTTTAATGCTGCCCTCAATTAAGGAGACTGGGGATGGGAAAGGAGAATGGAGGAAAGCTACAATCAGTTAACTCATTTATTCTATGACTTTTTTTTACTTTTATTTTTTTAAAAAAGATTTTCTTTTTGGAAATGTTGCAAAACAAAACCTATATTAAAATAAGCTTTTCCCTTAGATCTCTTGCCAACAATACAAAATTGATAACTTATGATACAGCAGTGCGTATGGTTGGTATAGGGAAGGGGTCAAAAGCATTTCCTGTTTGTGGTTAAGTCACAATTCAAAACAACCCATGTAAGAGGCTACACTTACAGAACAGATTATAGAACAAAGTTGTGCCCGTAATGCTGGAGGCTCTTCAAAGGAAAAGACAGCCAGCCTCCCAACACCAATAATTTGGTTTATGTTTGTGAACAGTGGTTTAAAAAAAAATTCATGGTTCTCTCCTGCCTGCTCTCCCTCTCGAGAGACTTATGATAACTAGCCCTGACACCAATATGAGAAAGTAGTTTTAAAAAAAAAAGAACTCTCCATATTTGATAAGATAATAAAACTGTAGTTCTGGCCCAAATTCAGAGACCATAGTTCCTAACACATGTTTCTTTGTAATATAGGAATGAGATACTTCATGGGAACCTAATAATGAAGCTAAGCTCTCAAAATTAGTTTTTATAGAATTTTACCTACAATAAATTCATCCTTCATATGGTTTCCCAAGCTGCTTAACCAATCTGTTTTATGTCATTTGAGCAATTACTGAAGTGTGTTAGTTTTTCAACCATATTTATCCTCACCTTCAAACACATAACAAATAAAGTCAATTCACTAAATTTCTTTACAGTTCTTGGGATTCACCCAAATTATCCTCACTTCAGATTAATTCATTCTTCTTCGGAATGCATCCAGAGAGGACATGGTTTTAAATGTTTAAGCCCTGACCTACAGCTCCCAATGCACACTCAGTTTTACATTTGGGGTAGGGTGAGTGGTCCAGGGTAAAGAATCATCTTTTGATATCTGGGAATCTTCCAAAGAATATCTGTCAATGGGTCCCATTTGGGATAACATTTTTGCCCAACTTTTATATACCGCTTTGGCTAACCCCAGAAGCAGCCTGCAACAGCTGCTGTCTATTCTCAAGTGGGCACAATACTGGAATAAATGAAAAGAAGTCAGTAACAAGAACAGATGCTGACTGAATAAAGGAATACACGTGTGAATTAAAACTTTTTTTTTAAACACACAAAGGATACAATGAGCAAAAACTGTGAAGGATGATTAAAATGTTACAACACATTCCTCAGCACCAACATTTCATTTCCTAGAACTGCATGTAAACTGTAGAGGAGTTACAAACCCATGAAATGATAATTAAATAACCAAAACATGCTTCATCTCAAATGACAGAAACATCCCCCTTAGCTGGAAGAACTATCACTAGTGTTTGTGGAGAGTTGGGGTTCCAGTGAACTTTACTAATGAAATGTACACTCAAAGTTATAAACTATTGCTCAAACTGCTCTTGAAGGACATGAAAATACGCAAATGGCAAGTGATACAGGTGGTTTCTTCACCCGTTTCCCAGTTGAATGAACTTGAAAATCCCCCTGTCACTTTTTTCCATTTCTTCTCCACACCAACTGTGCTACGAATCGCGAGCAAACAAAGTCTTGTGGCTCATTCCAACTCTTTAAGGCTCTATTCTGTCCAATATATACAAACACACATGTACAAACAAGCGTACATGTTAGAGTGTGAGTGTGTATAGGTGTGTGAGAGTGTGTGTGTGTGTGTGTGTGTGTGTGTGTGTGTGTGTGAGTGTGTGTCTGGAACTACAGAAAGCTCCACTCTGTTCTTGGAGAGAAGGCTGATCAGCTACAGGTGTAAGGTTCAAGGATGTCCATGCATGGAGAACTTCTCTGGCTTGAAGCGTTCTAGGTTTTGGTTTGGCCCTGAGCTGTTTGTCACTCCTGCGTCGGTTCTAAGTTCAGAATTCTCGGGTGGAAAGAACATGAGAATGAGAGAGACAGCTATGTGCACGCACAGACGCCTGCCTGCCCAGGAGTGGGCTCCTCACAGTGCCGGCCGGGTGGTCCGACCAGCCTCCACGCTAAGCAGCTGGGAGGCCTTTTCTGTTTCCAGCAGCTCATCAAAGATATCTCTGGAAGAGGAAGGGGGAAATCAACAAAAAGATCACAAGCAGGTAGAGAAAATGAGATATCAACTATAAGTGCAGAACTATCTACAAGAAGGATTAATATTTAGTGATTATTCTCTTAGAAAAAAGCAGCCTCTTCCTTCAACCTTCATTCTGAGTCGAAATGGTAACCCAGACCTCTATAACAATTTGCTGTTAGTACCTGCAAATTATCAGAGGACCCTGGCTAGAGCTACTATTTTAACAAAAATGATAGGTAATCAATCCGCCATATACACAAATTATGGATCAATGGGTCTCAGAAATGATCAAATACTTTAATTCAGAGAACTTCTCTGGCACATTTACAGTAGGCTCATAACTGGATCTCTCTTATCCCCTGTGAGAGATCATCAAGTATAGGAGGCTAGGTCCCAGAAACCCTCCACTCTATTACTTTCTGAAGGCCAACAAATGGAGTATAACGTAAGAAGAATTAATGCTACTAGTATTAGAGAAGCACAATGCTAATTTTTTCAGAAATTTCAAAGTAAAAAAAAAGTTATAAAAACCCAAAGTGGCAAAAACACTTAAATATTTCATCCTCAAATTAAAAGCTAGGCAATTTTTGGCCTGTGAGTCCTTGTTTGGCCAGATTCTTACTTGTGCATATAAAAGAAGATATAACCACTCCGATCTCTGTCACTCTGAACAGAGGACTCTTGGATTTTAGATACCTCCAAGTCATTGTATGTGAACCAGGCCTGCTTCTTAATGTCGTACACATCACTAATGTAATGACCTAAAACAAATAAAATAAAGTAATTATTTCCCCAACAGCACTGAGACTTCATAAAGGACAAGGGACGGATCTGTGATTTCACTGGTGTAGCGAGCTCTTGGTAAGAACTCCCCCTAGCAAAACAGACTGACATTCTCTGCAACCTAGAGTCTTGGGGAGTTGTCCAGTGCACTAAGTGGCTCAGTGACTTAACCAGAATCCCAAGTCAGGATGTGTCAGAAGTGAGACTTGAACACAGGTTTGCAAAGCCACCCTTCTATACACACTGCTTTGTACACACAGTTTTAAAAAAAATCAAAATAAATCTTTATAGTATCTTATTTTTAAAAGATCCTGAAAAAGTATAAACACTAAAAATTTCTGTAAATTTCAATGAATTTGTGATCTCCTTTTAATGATGCTCTCTTTATTGATGCAGACTGCAATCTAACCATCATTCCCCATCCTAAATGATTCTAGTCCATGAGTTCCATAAAACTTCCAGAGGGTCCACCTGATATTCGAGAGGATTTCATTTGCACATTTTATTATTTTGTGTATATCAATGCAGCAATGTCCACTAAGTTTCAGGGAATATAATGTTTAATGGATAAATGGTTGAGCAATCCTACAATTTCTAAATTAATGTATTATAGTTAAACTGACTTCATCTCTCTCCACACCCCCCCACACTCACCCACACCCCTCTTTCTATAAATACTTTAGAAAAGCACAGACTATCAGAGCTGAATACCTAACTTAGTCATACCTAGAAAGGACCAAGAATCCTTTCTTCATATATCCCTAACAAGTGGTCATTCAACCTTTGCCTGTGGACTTTCAGTGAGGCAGAAATCCATTACTTCCTGAAACAGGCCCACTGTGTTTTTCAATCTCTCTAATAGTTAGGAAGGTTTTTTTCCTTCCATCAAGCCTAAATGCCTCTCCACCACTAGTACCCATTGATCTTACTACTGAATAAGCCTAATTCCTCATCCATACAAGGCCTCTTCAAATACTTGAAGACAACTACATGGTTCCCTTAGTCTTCTTTTCTCCAGGCCAAATTACTGACTGATGAATATTATGTCCTATAAATGTTTCCCTGACTATGGCACTCTAGCTGTGGGGTCTGACTGTGGCAGAAGAAAGCAGAATTTTTATCAGCCTCATTTTGGACCCAGCACCTCTCAATGTACCCTGAAACAGCTTTTTAAGCTGCCATGTCATACTGCCAACTCATATTCAGCTTACATTGTGTGCTGAACACCCCCACCCCCATTTCTTGACTTTATTTCCACAGGAACTACTGTTTAGCCACGCCTTCCCAATTCTATATTGATGAAACTCATTTTTAAAAATTAAGTGGAATTGATCCTTATTAAATCTCATTCTATTCGATTCAGCCTACCATTCTAATTTGTTAGATCCTTGTTAGCTCCTAATTCTCACTTAACAAATTATCTACTTTTCATAGGTTTGTTACCTGTAAGTTTGAAAAATACAGCTTCTTCATCTAAGTCATAAAAATGTGGAACAAGGCAGGGCCAAGGACACTCTCTGGGGCACAAAGTACAAAGATAACTCTCTGAGGCACTAAAAGACATCCATCTAAGCTGATAGGCGCCATTAATGACTAGTCTTTGGATTCAGTTTTCCAACCATTCTCAATTCATTTAACTGCATTATGACTAGTCTATATAACAGTAATAGCTCACATGCTGTAAGATTTTCAAAGTACTTTACATAAATTACCTCATTTCATTTTCACAAAAACCATCTCCATTTTGCCCTCAAGGAAAACATCAGAGACTTTTTCATCTTTTAGTTCAGAAATGCCCCTCCTAGTCACAGAACCAGCTGACCAGAGAACCCAGACAAGTTACACTCTAACATACATATGTCTACTATATGAAAGCTCAAATGATCTTTTACCTGAAGATGATGTGCTTCCGATATGGCTGACAACACTGATCAGTCGATAAGAATGGGGAAGATTTCCTGTCTAAAAAACACAAGTGAATGTGAGCTTTACCTCTGTATCTAAAGTAAAATATCAAATCTAAGCTCAAACATCAAAGCGGATATAACTGAACCATAATACTTGGTATACCTGGAATCTCCAACAACTATAGCGAGCCATGAATATTTTACACACACTATGTAATCTATATACCAAGTGAATATATAACCTCAATTCAATCCAATTAACAGCTACTAAGTGCATGCTGTGTATAACATACTGAACCTAAGGACAACAAAATGCTTTAGTGTTAGTTAATAAATATTTATTCAGTATCTATTGGCCTGAATCAGTATTTTGCTGGAAAAAAAAAGGAATTTTTACAGGAATATCTGCTTTGACGACTGAAGGTAACAGTCTGTAGTCATGTATCTCAAAGTATCACATTGCTCAGCTCTCACTGAGTATATACAAAAAAGGTTAAACTTTATTTGATGAAAAAAAGGAAAAGAGGGGAGATGAAGAGAAGCCCAAGTTCTCACCTCAGCATTTCTCTTCAATTCCTCTGCTTCAGCTTCTGTGTACTCCATATCAAAAACATCTTCATTCCCAGAGTCGTCATCAGAGCCCATTCCATCCAGAAAGGAACTGTTAAATTCTGAAGGGCAAAGACAAGGACTGGTAATGGCCTTTGGCAAAGATGCCAAGAGACTCAACCAGAAAGAATGGAAGAAAGCCTGGATTCTATATTGTGCCATCCCAAGCAAAGGCATGCTATAAAAACCACGAAGATTCCAATGCAAGCCACATCCTATTAGACATCTCACAAGTGGTAACAGAAACATTTCTCAAGCTCTTTAAGTTAGAACAATATATATTTGATGAGGAGTCCGGGGTCTAATCCTCACATGAGAGAAAAAAGAACAGAACTTTATGCCTGATTCAGCTTCTTCCAGCATTGTATGCCAACCTGCATGTCATCTTTTTCCCTCTCTAAGCTAATACAGCACGAGAATTATAACACAATATCCACTAAATTTTCTGGGATTTTGAGGTTAAACAATCATTGCACTACTTAAGAGTTCATAATGAAAAGTGCTTTGAAAAATTAAAACTACCAACTCATAATGACTGGGCAGACAATTAAAAACAAACAAAAAAAGCCAGGCATCTTAAACCTGTGGTTAACAGCACTGCTGGAAGCAGTGGGGTTAACATTAAGAGCAAGCACAGTTACTCCCCAATAGCATATAGCTTCTCCAATTTTTGGGATTACAAGTAATGAACACTAGATTCGTCCCCTTATTCATGCTGGGATTCACAGCTTAAATAATTCTCAGAATAGATTAAATAAACATGGAGTAGTTGGAGATAAGTAAGAATAACAAAAACCTCCAGCTGGTCTCCACTCTAGGATGAGTAGAGAATAGGTATATGACATAATTAAAATGTCTGCAACATTATTAGTCTGAGCTCCACTCAGATGGACATTATTTGAACAAGGTCTAATCTGAACCCAGAATTAAGATACCGTATTCTGTATTTATTTCAATTTGTGCAGCTATCTATCTGTAATAAGACAAAAACATTTAAAAACGATCCACTGTAGATACTCATTGTGATATTAGTGGTATGGAGTAAATGTAAACCTAACTTGATCCACAGATGTTATTAATGAACAGGATACCAAGAGTATAGGGAATCCCAGGATCCCTTCACTTAACCTTAAATGAAATGGAATCTCTTTAAAAAGGAAGCATTTCACTAAAGAACAGCAATTCATACAAGGTTTTGAATTGATTCACAGCATACAAAACAAAATTATATTTTTAAACAACATTTGAAAATGAAATGATAAACATATCAGTGATTTTTCATATAAGGAAAGCTATTTTATTTAAAATATAGGTAAAAATAAATAAATCACAAACCTTGAAGACTTAACTCTGTGGCTCTTTTGAGGTCATCATCTTCTTTCTGTTCTCGGGCCTCCTAAAGGGAAGCATAAAATCGAGTTCATTTAAAAAGTTTAGTGTTTCTAATTTTGGTGTTTTGTGTTTTTTTTTTTGCATTAAAGCTGTTCTATTCTGGTTTCCACAACAAATGTGATATTGCACACTAGAAGTTCTACATGGAGGAATGCTCATTACCTTGTAAGAGTTCAATTTTCAGTAACAAAAGGACTGAAATAAAACTCAACTACAAATTCAGTATTCTATGATTTGGAATAAGGCAAAGTCTCTAATTAAGTTCCTTTTTCTTCTTCATTATTAATCACAACCAACTTGTACATGAAAGAGAATGTAGTTTGTCTCTCAGAATGCCAGATTTGGTCCTAGATTCCAACATTCAACTCCCATCGTTTACTTTTGGTGTTGTCCAGTTGTTTCAGAAGTATCTGATTCTTTGTGACCCCATTTGGGGTTTTCTTGGCAGAAAAACCACATAGTTTGCCATATCCTTCTCCAGCTCATTTTACAGATGAGGAAACTGAGGCAAACAGGGTTAAGTGACTTGCCCAGGTAGTAAGCTAGTAAGCATCTGATGCCAGATTTGAACTCTTGGAAACAAGTCTTCCTGACTCCGGACCCACCACTCTGTGCAATTTAAGTGCCCCAATCATTTCCTAATAGAACGCAATCTAATAATGATTTAAAGCACAGTATGTGACAGGGTAGGAAGAAGCAGTACAAACTAGCTCTCTCCCTGCAACTATTCTACAAAGATCTAGAAAACAGACCAGTCCAAGGCCTGATTGGGAAATCCAAGGAAAAAAAATCAAGGTAAATCATTTTTTCTGATGCAGGTTGGCATAGGAAAGACAATGAGGATGGGAGTCTAGCTGTTATGCACCAGACCTGCCCCTGGGGTTGGAGGCCCAGGGCAAGGAAAAGTCACAGGTCCTAGGCTATGCAGTGAGCAAGAAGTGAAGTGTGAGGTGAGTAGCAGCTGTGGGGCTCTGACTCTGAGAGCAGATCAGGGTCTCTGAGTCAGTTCCTATGCCAATAGGAAGCTTACAGTACAGTCACTCTGAACCCTCTGAGCTTCCCAGCTAGAGGACAGGGGCTGAGTCGATTAGTAGTCTGTTGGAGATTTAACCAGGGGCAAATCCACAGTGGTGATGCTCACACTCAAATCCAGGTCAGAAAGTCTGAAGAGCTCAAACCAGGAAGACAGTGCTCAGATTTCACCCTGGGGTCAATGAAAGTTTGCAAGTCCCCAGCCTGAGCTGTCTCCGAGATCTTGGAATAATACAATACTCAATACCAGAGAAGAGCAGCAGCAGGATCCAAAACAGGACCAAGTATGGCACAGACATTCCCTATAAAAGTGTACATAAGCTGGCCTGAATATAGTCCAAAGTCAGGAAATAAGGCTGGAAGAACGAGCAAACAGAAGTCTACTGTCTAGCAAGGCCCTGACATCCAATAGTAGCTTAAGAAATGCTAGTTCAGAGGCAGCTAGGTGGCGCAGTGGATAGAGTACCGGCCCTGAAGTCAGGAGGACCTGAGTTCAAATCCAGCCTCAGACCAAACACTTGACACTAGCTGTGTGACCCTGGGCAAGTCACTTAACCCCAACTGCCTAAAAGCAAAAAATAAAAAAAATAAAAAAAAAATAAAAGCTAGTTCACTGCCCCCCTCCTCCCCCTTCCAAGAAGAATCACACCTTAAAAACCTATTATTGAGCTAGGAAAACTCAGGAACCCAGAAAATAATTACTTTAAAATATCTACAAGAAAAACCTCAAAGAAAAATGTAGCTTGGCCTAAGTTCAACTAGAATTCCTGGAATATATGAAATAAGAATTTAAAGGAGTGTTTAAAATTATTTTACAAATGAAATGAGAGCACTGAAGGAGAAATGGGAAAAGAAATGAAAGTTATACAAGAAAAAATGGGAAAGGGAATTACCAGCCTGGTGCAAAAGGTATACTTTCCCCAAGTAACACACTACTTGAAAATTAGAATGGATGAAAGACTTCATAACAAAATACAAAATATTAAAACAAATTCAAAAGACTGGAAAAAAGTAGAAGAAAATGTAAGGTATTTCATTATTATAAAAAAAACTGACTTGGAAAATAGATCAAGGAGAGAGAATTTAAGAATCATTGGATAATCTTTATGACAGCCAAAACCAAAAAGGGGACTCGACATACTATTTTAAGAAATAATAAAAGAAAACTGCTCAAGTATCTTATAAGTAGGAGCTAAAATGGAAATAAACAGTCTACTGCTCATATCCTGAAAGAAACCCCAAAATAAAAATTCCCAGGAACATTATAACCAAAATGCAGAGCTTCCAGGTCAAAGACAAAAATACTGTAAGCAGCCAGAAAGAATGAAAGAATTCAAGTACAGAGGTGCCACAGCATCATATAAGATATTTAGAAGCCACTATGATAAAGGAACAGAGAGGCTGTAATATAAAAATCCAGAAGGCAAAATAATATAGGCTAACAATCAAGAATAACTTGTCAGCAAAACTGAGTACAATTCTACGGGGGGTGGAATTAAACCTTTAATGAAATAGAGGACTTCCAAGCATTCTTGATGAAAAGACAAAAGCCGCACAGAAACTCTGAAATACAAACAAGGGATTCTAGAGAAACATAATAGGATAAGTGTAAGCAAGAAATCACAAAGGACTAAATAAAAATGAAATTATTATACTCAATGGTAAAATGATAATATATGTCCCTTCAGAGCCTTATTATCATCAGGGATCATAGAGAAGGTCTAATGAGATGAAGGGCTTGCGAGTAGTTTTGTTATGGTTTGATATTCCTGAAGAAAGGAAATAGAGTAGACTAGAAATACACTAAGAGGGAAAAAGGGAGAAGAAAGGAAGGAGAAATTATCTTATTATCATGGTACACAAATAAAAGACTACACAAATATGGAAGAAAGGATAGGGAGGGCAGGTGACCCAAACCTCACTTTCATCTAAATGGGGCAAAAAATGGAAGAATACATACATATACAGAGTTGGGTGCAGAAATACATTTCATTCTACTAGGAAATAGGTGGGAAAGGGAAGAAGAGCAGGTTAGGGAGGACAGATTAAGAGAGGGGTAAGCTCTAAAAAACAAAACAAAAAAACAAACAAAAAACCCCCCAAAACTCTAAGCAGGGAGGATAAATAGCAAAGAGAGGCTTAAAATGAAAAAAGAACATATAACTGAGATCTGAGCCAGGGAAAGAGAAGATGAACACGGGAGCATCAAACTTAGAGCCCTGGTGCCAAGCACACTACTGCTTCACAACTGTCTTTTTTCTTTAGAAAAAGGGGGCGGGAAATAAAGAGAAGGAAAAGTATAAGAGAAAAGGACGGAGAAGTACACACTTAGTCATAACTGTGAATGTGAAGCAGCTTAACTTACCCACAGAATGGGTAGCAAAAGAGCAGAAGAAAACAATATGTTGTTTATAAGAAACACATCTGAAAAATAACTGTTCAGATATAATTAAAATCTATTATGTTTCAGCTGAAGTTAAAAAGGCAGAGACAGCAAAATGATCTCAGATGCAGTAACTGCAAAAAATAAATTTAATTAAGAGCTAAGCAGGGAAACTACACTGTGCTCAGTGATACCATAAACTATGAATAAATATCAATACTAAACACATATGTACCAAATGGCATAGCATCTGAATACTTAAAGGAAAAGTAAAATGAGTTATAGGAAGAAACAGACAACAAAACTATAACTAAGAGGACCTTTTACATCTAGATAAATCTAACAATGACAACAACAACGACAACAACAAGAAGTAAAAAACCTGAATAGAGTTTTAGAAAAGTTAGATATAACTCTGATAATTAGTGAATAGGAACAGAAAGGAATACATGTATTAACCCAGATGTTTATGGCACTATTACAAAACTGACCATGTATTAGTGTATAAAAACTTCACAAACAAGTACAGAAAAGCTGCTCATATCCTGAAAGAAACCCCAAAATGAAAATTCCCAGGAACATTATAACCAAAATGCAGAGCTTCCAGGTCAAAGAAAAAAAATACTGCAAGCAGCCAGAAAGAATGAAAGAATTCAAGTACAGAGGTGCCACAGCATCACATAAGATGTTAGCTAGAGTGACAAGAAAAAGAAACTGGAAGAATAAGCATAGGCAAAGAGAAAATGAAATTATCCCTTTTTTGCAGATTGTTGACCCTAGAGAGTCAACTAAAAAATTAACTGCAATAATAACTTCAATAAGTTGCAGGATCTAAAAATAAACCCACACAAATCATTATTTTTGTATATTACCAACAAAGCCCAGCAGGAAGAGGAAGAAAAAGAAATCCCATTTAAAATAACTAACTACAGAATTACAAAATACTTGAAAGTCTACGCCAAGAAGACACACAAACATGAACTATATGAATATAACTACATAATACCCCAATTATAAATGCTTAAAGGATATGAATAGGCAATTTTAGGAAAAATCCAAGCTATTAATAGTCATATGAAAAAATGCTCCAGATCACTAATAATGAGAAAAATGCAAATTTAAGCAACTCCTGAAGTTCTGCTTCATATCCATCAGACTGATAAAGTTGACAAAAAAGGAAAATGATGAATGCTGGAGAAGCTGTGGGAAACCAAGCACACTAATGCACTACTGGTGAATAAACTGATCCAGCCATTCTGGAAAGCAATTTAGAACTATGCACAAAAGTTATTAAACTGTGCACCCCACACCCCAAAGAGAACAAATAGGAAAAGGATCCATATATACAAAAACATTTATAGCAATTCTTTTTTGTGGTGGCAAAAGAACTGGAAACTAAGGGGTTACTTATCAATTAGGGAATGATGAACAAAGTATGTTATATGAATGTAACAGAAAACTATTGTTTCCCATGAGGAAGGGATAGTTTCAGAGAAACTTAAGAACACTTGTTTGAACCGATGTAAAGTGAAGTGAGCCGAACCAGGAGAACAATTTTTATAATAATAACACTGAGGACAAATAACTTTGAAAGACTTGACTTTGATCAATACAAAGATTAACCACAATTCCAAAAGACTCATGATAAAACACCCTGCCCATCTCCTGACAGACATAAGGTCTCAGGATATAGACTGAGACATGCTCTTTGGACATGGCTAAAGAGAATTTTGGTTTTTTGACTGTGCATATATGTCACAAGGTTTTTTTCCCCTTTTTTTCCAATGGAGAGAGGGGAGAGAGGAAAGACAGAGAAGACAGATTTTCAGTAATTAAAAAAATTTTTAAAATGCCTATGTGCAAATGATTTAAAGGATAAAGTAAACAAAAAATGCAAAATTTAAGAAATTTCATTTTTATATACAAATTATAGGTAGCCCAAGGAAAAATAGGCCCCGGCATCAAACACTAAAGTCATGTTTTATCTTTTTAAAAATTATTTTTATTATTTCTTATTTTTACTTTTTAGTTTTCAACATTCACTTTTATAAGATTTTGAGTTCCAATTTTTTCTCCCCCCCTCCCCAAGACAGCATGCAATCTGATATAGGTTATACATGTACAATCATATTAACAAGTTTATCTTCTTAATGGGATTTAAATCAGTTGCTACTAAAATATTACGCAAAGTTCTGTAACCTTATTGATCTCCAAGATGCAATCTTTTTGTTATCTTACTTTTCTTTTTACTGAGGTGTTAAACATATCCTTGGTGATTAAGAAGACTTAAAGATTACTTTCTGCAGTTAATAACTGAAGATTTGAGATCTTTTTGTGGTGGCAAAGCACTGGAAACAAAGGAGGTGCCCATCAATCGGGGAATAACTACAAATTTTGGCATGTGAATATAATGGAATATGATTATGCTATAAGAAATTAAAAGAGAGCTTCAGAGAAACTGGAGAAGACCTGTAAGAACTAATGGCAGAAACAAGAACCAGGAGAATACTATAAATAACATCAACATTGTAAAAACGATCAATTCTAAGACTTGAAGAGCTCTAGCCAACACAGTGATCACTCATGATTCTCGAGAACCAATAATGAAGCACGCTCACATCTTGTGAGAGACAGGAGACAGACTAATTTGCAAAGTGAGACAGGTATTTCTAGACAAGGCCAATGCTGACATCAGTTTTACTTGAGTGTGCTTATTGGTTGCAGGAATTTTGCTCCTCCACTCCTACCCTGGTCCAGGGACTGCAGTGAAGGTGAAAGGAAGAAAAAAATGCTTGATAATTGGCAGGGGGGTGGTCACTCGTCACTGGTAGTTCCCCTGTGAAACAACAGTCGCTCAAATGGCTTAATTTTCTTTCTAACAAGTCATCTCCAAGAAATCCTAATTCCTCAAGAGTAGTAGGGCTTACTTCCTTGCAAAGTTGGTAGTAGTTTCTTCATGAAAGAAATTATGAGATTAATTTTGTAACTCTGCTAAGATATTTAACTGCTCCAGGAAGACTTCCATGATCCCTCTTCTGGTTAGTTACAATTTTCCACAAGAATTCTCTAATGTGTTTATTGTATAATAATAATGCATGCATTGAGTGTTTCATGTATTCCTCCCAACTAGACTACATATAAATTATTAGAGGGCAGGAAGAAGTATCTAATTTAAACTTGTATCCCCAGCACAGTGTGATGAGCAGGATGGTTTCAAAAAATTTGGAAAGACTTACATGAATTGAGTGAGTGAAGTGAGCAGAACCAGGAGAACATTGCACACAGTAACAGCAATACTGTACGATGAACAACTGTGAATGACTTAGCAATTCTCAGCAATACAATCATCCAAGACAATCCCAAAGGACTCATGATGAAGAATGCTATTCACCCCCAGAGAAAGAACTGATGGAGTCGGAATACAAATGGAAACATACTATTTTTCATTTTCTTTCCTTCTTTCACTTTTTCCTTTTGGTTTGAGTTTTATTCCACAAAATAACTAATAAGTAAAAATAATAACACATGATTGCATACGTATCACCTATACCTGATTGCTTACTGTCTCAGGGAGAGTGGAGATGAGGGAGGGAAGGATAGGACTAGAACTCAAAGCATTAAAAAACCTTATGTTAAAAAAAATTTTTTTATGTAATTGGGTAAAAAAAAATTATTTAAAAAACAAAAGAAAAGGGATAAATTGTTTTCATTAACTGACCTGTAAAAGATATCAAATGCTTTTAAAATAAAATTTTTGCCACTGAAAGAGACCATCTGAGTACATCAAATCGTTCTAAAACCAGAAAGCTAGACACAGAATTTTTAATCAATGGAAAGATACAAGGATGCCAAATTGAAGTTGCTTTATCTAAGAAAATGTATTCCCATCACTATATCTGGGAAATATCTGGTAAACTTAACTGAGGCAGCTAAATTTTTTTTTTAAACAACAAAACAAAAAAAAATTCTACTAGTGATGAAATGACTACTGAAAGATATCTTCTTTTTTAGAAGGTAAGAAAATCTCTCAAATAAAACCATACTTTACTGAAGAAACTACAAAGAAGTAGACAAATACAAGCTATTACTATATATAACAATCATTTTTACTAAAAAAGACTGCCACATACATTACTGTGAAAACACTTGTATTCATATGCATGTATTCAATGATATATTAGTATGAACAGTTGCTTTGGAAAACTTTGTAAGGAAATCTTGAATTTGATTACTTAGAATGCAAATAACAGTACTATAAATGTATTCTGAAAGCTTAACAAACCATTCAAGGCAATTTTAGTTTCATTACCATCTTACATGGTATTCAGCTGAATGATACAACAATGAAAATATCACCTATTGGCCAGATGCCTGGGGCAAGAAAAGTGAGATGCTAATTAAAACTGTATTAGCTCTGACAAATATAAAACATGACAGATCCAATCACTAAAAAAAGAGGCAGTTGTTTAAAAGAAAGGGCACTAGAATAGAAAAACAAAATTGTCTTCTAATTGGTATTTGGAAAGATTGCTATACCTAAAAATCAGAAATACACATATCTCAGTAAAGAGGTACAACGTTTCCCTAGATAGATCCTGCTAGTCACAGCATTAGGAAAACTTGATCCTGACAAAATTGATCTGTGAGCCTGGGTAAGTCAGCTCTCTGCCATTTCAAGTTGTAGAAAAATTTCCTAAGCTATCTCATGCCTAGACAAAAAAATAAATGAAGCCAAGAGCATAGCATGAGTGTGGTGTACACATATAGGAAATGATCATCATATTAAAAATGTTCTAGTAAAGAGTTGCCAAACGTATTTGACAGAACAGCAGAGAGAAGGGGAGTTGACTGGGTAGCTCTTACTTGCTCCTGGAGGCTCTGAGCAAGGGCCTGCTGGAGTTCTTCTTCTTCCCGCTCTCGCTCCATATCATACTGTTGGAGCCAGTCGACTTCCCCCTGAGACCCTTCTGGAGTTTTGTTTTCTTTATTCTCATCAAAATCTTTCGCAATCTCAGTGAAACTGGCAGGACCTGAGGAAGCAAAAGAGCACAATTCAAGATTTCTGGCTTTCCCTGCCATTTACCAGTTGAATATTTTCCAGCACACCTAAAGTCCCTTGAACACAGGGACATCAACTGTCCTTGCCCAACCTCAATGCCACCAGAGTATTTTTACTTAGAAGCTTTTCTCACAAAATGTCACAAATGCTATTAAAACAAAACCAACCGGAGGCAAAACAATTTCATCATTCTGTTTTATCCACATAAAAGGGCCAATTTTAGTTTTCACTTCCAGAAAAGGAAACATACAGGTTGCTTTATATATATTTGTTTACCTGTAGTCTTTCCTTTAGCCGGTAAGCTCCCCAGAGGCAGGGACTGTCTTTTGCCTCTTTTTTGTATCCCTAGCATTTAGCACAGTGCCCAGCACAGTAAAAACTTAATAAACGTTTACTGAATTGAATGAATGAATGAGTCTCTGCTCTAACCTTCACTTGACAGGAAACTACAAGCAAGTCCCATGACTTCTTGGAGCCCGAGTTTCCTTGTGAAAAAGAGGGACGGTGATAATAATAGACTTCAGCTTTCTAAGAATGTACTAGGCTATGGATAAGAACTATACTAATGTTACTGATTTATTTTTTAAAAGCAATTTATCTTTTATTTACGTCAGATTCAAAATGATTTGTAGGGAACGCAGTCTTAAGTTATATATGGTACACAAGAGTAAAGAGAGAATCAGACCAAATCTTGAGAAGACTTGGTCGGCCAGGCTTACTCCAGGCCCTATTTTACTCCAGATTAGACAACGAGTTGAACTGTAAGGGCATAGATCTTGCCTAGGGGAGAAAAGAAGCTATAAGAAGCCCCTCTTTAGTCCTATGTTTTATCCATCAGGTCATACTGCTTTAATATCCTCAAAAGAATGTGAATATATTTCCTTAGTCAATAAGCATTTATTTATTTATTTAGGTCAATAAGCATTTATTAAGTACCTACTATATGCCAGGCACTGTGCTAAGCACTGGGAATACAAAGAAAGGCTAAACATAGTTCTTGCCCTCAAGAATCTCAGTCTAATGCAGAGAGAAAAATGCAAACTACTATGTACAAACAAGATTTATATAGGATAATCTGGAGATAATCAACAGAGGGAAAGCACTAGATTTAAAAGGAATAAGCAAAGACTTGTTGTAGAAGGTGGGATTTTATCTGGGACCTGAAGGAAGCTGAGGGAAGTCAGAAAGAATTCCAGGTATGGGGTACAGTTAATGAAAATGTACAGTCATCAGATGGAGAGTCCTATGCAAGATTAAGGAGGCCAGTGTCACAAGATCACAGAGTACATTGGGGAAGAGAAGAATAAGGTGTAAAAAGCCTAGAGAAGGAAGAGAGGGCCAGGTCGCGATGGGGTTTGAAGGCCAAACAGAGAATTTCATGTTTGAAGCTGGAGATAATAGGGAGCCCATGAACTTTACTTAATGTGGATGTGTGTAGAGCAGTAACATGGCCAGATTTGCACTTTAGGAAGATTAATTTGACAGCTGAGTGGAAGATAGACTAGAGTGGAGAGAGACTTGAGGCAAGATAACCGAAGAAAAGGCTTTTGTGCTTGTCCAGGTATGGAGTGGGGAAGACCACACCTGGTGGTAAAGTCAAGAAAAGGGAACATATACATAAGATATTATGAAGGAAAACTGACAGGCCTTGAAAAAAGATTGGATATAGGAAGTGAGAGCGAGAAGTCAAGGATAACAACATTGATGATTGGGAAAATGATACAGTGCTTAATGGTAATGGGAAAATTAAGGAGAAGGATTTTTTTTTTTGGGAGGGGGGAGATAATGAGTTCAATTTTGGACATACTGAGTTTAGGATACCTGGGATCCAGTCTGAGATATGAAATAGGCATTTGGAGATGTGAGTCTGGAGGTTAGGAGAGAGATTAGGGCTAGTGGATCATCTCCACAGAGAGGAAAATTGAATCCATGAGAATTGATGAGAACACCAAATGAAATAATATAAAAGGAATAGAGAAGAGGGTCTAGGACAGAGCCCTGTTGTGTGAGATAAGAATGGAGGAGAGAGTAGTACAAGGTATCTGGGTGATGTGAGATGAGGAAGAGGGGAAAAGAGGGAGTTCTCAGCAAATGGCCTCCATTTTTACAGTAAAAAATGAGGCAAGGTTCTAAGCTGACAGGGTGGAGGCAGGGGGAGCCATGAGAGGTTTGAGGAGGGATGAAAAGGTTTGGAAGAACTGCTGTGGAGAGCGGGATACTATTGATAAGACAAGAACAGAAGGACTGCCCAGCAGCATTGAGGGCTGAAATTACATAACATAAATTTTTTGTGGACTTCACCAGCAAGGTTTTGTGATCTTCTTTAGCTTCAACAGTTTGTGATTAGGAGTGAAGGAAGCAGATGATGGGGGAAGTTTAAGGCTAACAAGATCTGCAACAGGATAAGGGGACAAAGGACATTCTTTTATAGAAATCTCCATACTTCTGTACTTCAACAGGAAGATCTCAGAAGACAGTATTTAAGTTAATCCCATCAAGTAAGTGTACTTTATGTTGAAAGAGGCTAACCAAGACAAATGATGAAAAGACTGTGCATTTCCTTGGTGGTAATGTTGAGAGTAAAAATTACATATAAAATAATTCTTATATAACTAGAACAGGATACACTAACAGAGAAAATTAAGCCATGGGCAAAAAAACTTCAGACCAAGTTGGAAGAGGGCATAGAATAACCATTTTTTCTGTTTACAAATCTGTAAAAATTTATAGTGTAGCTAGGATTTATGCAAGATTTTATTTCTTATCTTACATGTTTAATTTTCTTTCTAATATAAAATTTTAAAATAAAGTAGCTGCTGTCCTCAGCAAGCATGTGCTATTTCCCTTAAGAAAACCAATATACAAAAAATTTTAAATTTAAATAAATAGAAAAATTAAGGGGATAGTTATTCACTTAACAATGATCTGCATCTTAAATAGCAAGATACTAAAAAACTTGAAAAATATAATTTGATGTACAAAAACTTGATTTTCAGAAATAGCTATTAGATAAAATGAAATATGTTTACATCTTTGAAATTCTCAGGCTTTCCCATCTACCTTTATATATATCACAGAAATACATATATATATATATATACACACATTTTTATCATAGAAACACAATGTTCAATAATGAACATGTTTTAATTTCACAAGAATACAGCTACCAGTTACTAAATTTTTAATGCTTTAAGGCTCTGAGAATATAAAAAAATTACACAACCATAATTTTTTGCAACTATAAGGACAAATCCATACACAGCTTCTACTACTGTTTTTTTGTTTATACTTTATATAAGCTTAGAAACACTGTTGAAAAACTACTACAAAAACTTTTATGTAATTTTACTTTGCTCTGCCATCATAATTCAATTCAATGAACATTTATTAAGCACTTAAAGGGATATGCTAGGTACCTGGAACACAAAGACAAAAATGAAAAAGTTCCTGTCCCCAAGTTTATATTCTACTTGGCTGGGGGGGAGAGGAGAGGGAAGAGATGGGGCAGCATAATTTTCCTTAAAATAAATGCTAATATGCCAATCTTGATTCCTTTAAAAACCAGGATTTACTGTGATTGTGCTGTGAGTCGCAAAGACACCTTTTGAAAAATATCAACCAAGTCAGATGTTTCTAAGCTAAATACAGTTTCAAATTTGGTCACTGAAAAATCTTTCTAATTCAATTCATTCATCTGAATTATTTTAAAATTAATGTATGCTCATATTTATTATGGTTATAGCTGCATCCTAATGCATCATTTCCTATACAATAGTCATCATTCCCTATCACTTGGAACCAGATGGTCCCTGAGATTCTTCTCTCCAGAGCTTTCAATGTTTAACAACATCTAAGATTTAACAAGATCTAAGCAGTCATAGTTACCAGTTTTTCTTTGATTGCATTTCTGACAAAACATTGAAAATGGACTCAAAACAAAAGAAACATTTCATATTAATGGCAAAACAATTAATTAAAATCTTAATGCTTAAAAATAGTAATCTCATGACAATGGCATGCAGTCGTGAAAGCCCTATAATTTGGTTTCTACGGCAGAAGGCTTTTTTAAAAAATTAAATTAAATTATTAAAATTTTTTTCATAAGATTTCTTACTCAGTTTTATCAACATATAAAACCTACATGTTGATCTTACAGTTTGGGGGCTAGTGGAAAGATTACAGATAACACCATCTTCACACAGCACAAATTTTCAGCACCCAATGCATTAGCTCAATACATGTTTTCTAGACAATTAGCTAATGCAGCCATCAAACCCAGAACTTTCCAACAAGTAATCCTACAAAGGAGAAGATGATTTACAATGACCCATTTGTGATGCTGAAATCAATAAGGCACATAATACTTCTGTATTTGTTCAGAGGTCAAGTGTTCAAAACCACAGGTGTGGAGAGTGTTCAAACCTAGTAGGAATGGATTACTTTGTGAACTAATTAAATTTTAAAAGATTTGGAGAATGGGTCAACTAAGATCCATGTGTATTTTACATGAAGGACTTGGGAGAAATCAAACCTCACTTTGTAGGTGGAAACTTCGGATACTTTCAAGTTTCGTCTGATGTATACATAGTATCATGATCTGCTCTTCATCAAAACTATTCTAAATGTTGTGACATTGACTATATTTGGGGCGAACTGGTTAGGGGAAAGGAACTCTAATGCAAGAAATATCCTGGACATTTCTGAGCTACTAAATTACCAGAAACAAGGTGAAACAGTATTGACCCAGATAGGCAAAGTGGCCAGAAGGTCATGAAGGACACAAGGTATTATCCAAATAAGATTCCATTCCCTCTATCTCATTTAGTCTCAAATCATTCCATTCCATTCATGCCAGAAAAACCAGCATGGACTTGGATAATCTGGCTGGGAACCAGAGAAAGTAGGGCAAACATCAGTAAACAGACTTCAAGCAGGCCACTGCTCTGAATGGGAACCTCAAAAGTCAAT